AAATTGCAGACAATAGGCTAGGCCTAATCACGACGCGGAGACGCGCGGCACGTGAACTGAAGCTTGTCTCATGAACCGAAAGTCAGCGTATAAGGTATCCTCACAGACATATATATTGAAATGTCTACTTTTAAAGACAACCATTCAAAATGAAAGAAAACAGACTGCTCTCTGCTTATGTGGGCTAATCCGTATGAAAACTGAATTTCTCTCTGACTCCTCTTCAATCTTTCTGATTTTAGAACATTTTTGTAAAAGTGACTTTTTAATTATTTATTTCAAAAAAATTAAAAATAAGTTGAGTTTCAGCCTCGTTAAATTGCATTTTATATATGTTAATCTATTTGGTCAAATTAAGCTATATAAAATAAATAGTTTATCCCTTAAAATGCTATGGATTTTGAAAGATATCAAAAAAAAAAAAAAAAAAAAAACGGGCAAAAAACTTTAAAAGCGATTTTCTTAGGTTTTCAATTGGAAAAAAAGGGCAGACGACCAGAATTCAAATCTGTATATCTTTACAACCATTCAAGGTATGACCAAGGTATCATTTGAAAGCTTACAGTGTCCTCTTTCCATTAATATCAAAATCTCAATTTTTAAATTTGGGTCACTGTGACTAATTTTGCTGGATCAGGTCGGTCACAAATGTGTTTTTTATTGTAGTATTATTTTATACAGAAATACATTATAATTATATATAATATACAAAATATAACCGTGGGCGCGATTAAACAGTGTTACAATAAAACTCAACATTGTGTTTTTTAAAAATAAATTCAAATAATACAAATCCCGAAATTGCGCTAATTTTAAAATTAAACTAAAACTCATGGCTGCACAAGCATTCATAACTGTGCGCGCCAACAGCGAGGAACCAGCAGAACAGAGTGAACGTTCATTCTGTTTAGTTCAATCCTACTTAATAGGAATTTATTTAAAATGCTTGCTCTACTCCACAACATTAATGTCTTGTGCGGATATCTGTATTTTGACTTTCGGTTTTAAGTAAGCGATTTAAAAGTTCCCGAGTCCCAGCGGAGTCACACGTTGATTAGGCCTAACTGATATTGAACACAAGAGGGCAGTATAGCACTACGTATGACTCAGATTATTTTTTCTTCTTCTGAATTTTACAACCATTCTGGCTGTTTTTGAACGTAAACATAATTCTTAAATGAAAAAAGGAAAAAACTGGTTAATTATAATATTTGTATAATTTAATTTAGAAACAAATGATGTATAATTACATTTTTAGAAGATATGAGGCTTTTAGTGTTTACTTTTTTGACATTACTTTAATCTTTTGCCAAAGTTGCACATGCCTACTGGCTAATAAATGTGATGTATCTGTCGAGCTATCTGTATCTATCTGTTTCAAGCAATTTCAAGCATGCTAAGAGTCCCAAAAGTATCAAAAAAGAATGTTAAAGTTTGATTTGTTGCCACAGCAACAGTATCAAAGATATCAAGAATCCATTCACAGGTCTACATCTGCTGTATTTTTACATTATACAGATGAAGTTTGAAGCAAATCGGTTAAAAATAAGAGGGTGATATCAAAGCATTTTGAAAGTGACACACTTCCTGCTGCCAGTTGGTGGCGCTATAACTTTGACTCACAATAGTCACATCCATGTAATCAGCCTCTTACAGTGAACACACTGCTGAAGTTTCATCAAGATCAGTTAATGTATGCTGAAGTTATAACACACTTCCTGTTTCACGTTTCTCGCCATAATTTTGTTTCCTCGCCACGGCCAAACCGTTCGAGATATCAAAAATCCCCTCGCAAACTTTCATCCTCAATGCCTTGACTTCATGCTGACCGAGTTTCGTGCCGTGTGTGTTTGAATTCTCTAGGAGGAGTATTGCACATTCCATTGCGAGCGTTTTACAAACAAACCTCAATAGCCGACTTCCTGTTTGGCTGGGGTAAAAAGTAAGAGCGTGAGGTATAGATGAAACGATGAGATCAACATGTGTACCGAGTTTCATATTATTACATGCAAGCGTGTTTGATTTATGGACCAAGTGTTCGGACCCCGTTCCAGGGGGCGCTGTCTAGCCCCCCTGCCACACCCAGGTACCATCTTCAGCCCGGCTCTGATGGCTGTGGGATCTGACCTGTGTGCAAAGTTTCAAGAGTTTTCAAACCCGTTAAGGGCCCAAAAGCCGCTAAGAGTCTCAAAATCATTAAAAAAAGAATTTTAAAGTTTGATGCGTTGCCACGGCAACAGTATCAAAGATATCAAGAATCCATTCACAGGTCTTCATCTGCTATGTATTTACATTATACAGATTAAGTTTGAAGCACATCGGGTAAAAATAAAAGGGTGAGTTCAAAGCATTTTGAAAGTGACACACTTCCTGCTACCAGGTGGTGGCGCTATAACTTTGACTCACAATAGTCACATCCATGTTGATCGTCCTCTTACAGCGAACACACTGCTGAAGTTTCA